CCAAAAAGAAACCTTATCAAAAAAACATAGAATTGAACAAACCATTCTATATTCAGAAGTTAAACTGTCTATCGCCTTCCTTTGTAGGTAAGGATAAGTGTTCACCCATTGACCAAAAATAACTTTTCTCTCCTGCATCTCAATGTGAGCAAATCTATTTCCAAGAAGCTTGGCTAAAATACGGTTCATCATGCCGAGATACAGGTATTACACACATGAATAACTTGATGTGATGTGGAGTGGAACTTGTGAAAAGCACTGCTGAGATGTCTATATATAAATCCAAGGGCTTCCATCCTGACATATTTGACAATCTTTTGCGTGTCATGTTTCAAAGGAATGTTTCACTTTGTAAACTATTCAAAAGATTATTCTTTTGTTGTGTTTCCCAGTAGAATTCCATCATCAGTAAATGCTGTAATCGACTGATTGCTGGTGTATTTTGTGTTCCATTAGAGTCTTAAGAGTACATTAGCTCTATTAGCAAATTAATTTTTTTAGTTCTTCCCGCTCTGGTACCTTTTTTTCTGTCCTTTGCTAGCTCTAAAATCTCCTTTGTCTATCATCTTGACCTATCTTTTGAGTATTTTTTTGGCCATTAAAAGCTAAGATACTTGTGATTTTGTTGAATTAATATGCAAGATCCTCTAGATCCTCCAGTGAATCTTAAAAATTTTTCCTTTCCCAGGTCCTTTGTCATATACATGAAAGCGAGATCAGTTTTCTTGGGTCCGAATGATAATTGTAGGCATGAAACAACCCTCTTCCACTCAGACCTAACAGTTTTAGAATGTCAAAGGAAAAACGAGAAAAGGTTGCTGTCCACAGAGCAGCCAAAAATCTCATGTTAATGGAACTTTTCCCCAAATTTCTTTGTTGCTGCAAGTCTTAACCTCAGTTTGTTGAAAAGCAAACAGCTAAAGCTTCTTATCTCATTAATAGAAAGTGTGTGTGTGTAGGGGAGACTATGTGACTGACACACCTTACTGCACCTAATCAGGGAAACAAAGAAGTTGAGTCTGGGGTTCTGTCCCAGGCCCAAGGACATGGAACCCGAGAGTGGGGCTTGGGGACCTGCATTGTAAACAAATATCCCAGGTGATTTTAATGCGGGTGGTTCTTGGATCACACTTTGAAAAACATTGTAAAGGAAAAAGTTGGTGTAAAATGCATAGCTCAGAGTCTGGATGTTTGGGCGGGCGGGGGTAGGGATAGTGTGCTTTGGTTTCAGTGGATGTTTGGTGAATTCAAATGAGTTTTTCTTAAACATTAAAAAAAATAACACAATGAAAACTTCAAGCGTTGCCCAAAGGAAACTGAGAAGTAAAAGGCTCCCTACTCCCCAGCCCCCTGCCAAGGCACGGTCAATATTGTGTATCATCTTCCCTGCGGGCGCCCGCCACCACCCCCTCCCCACCCCCCGGCCAAGCCAGATGAAATATTTGAGATAGGGATGGGGGAGATGAATTAAAAGACAATTCAAATACATATTGAAGAGAGCAACTGTGGCTTCAGTTCCCGCTATTCTATTTTTAGTAAAAGAATAAGGCTCAAAGAATTAGAAGCAGAGGTCAAAGAGAGTAGGCAGTTTTTAGATTAATTTCAAAGAATTTTCTGGAATTGTATCAACATGGCAATAGAAAAATAAACTTAACTGTTCTTATCGTAGAACAGAACCTTACCTAAATCCCAGTTGGTGTCATTATCCAAAGAGGTAGAACATCCCTTTCACAGAACAGAATGTAAAAACGGACTCATGCTTTCACTCCATCCCAGCTTGCAATGGTCTTTGTTTCCTGTCAACCCCCTTTCCTCTCATTGTTACAACTCTAACTTGAGTCCCGAGCCTTATTTGGCAGACCTCTTACCCATTTTCATTTCTGCTTTCTTCACTTGCTTGGATTTCATCCCCTCACCTTTAGGTTCGTAATGATGTAATTTTTATCTGTAAAAGCGCCAGGAGAGGGACCTGCCTGTTCAGTTCACCACTCTTATTCTGAACAACCATCACCTGGTCTGTAGATCCCTTCCAAGTATTGGATTAAGGAAAGGACTTGGCCCAGCCTTGAGGCCGGTTATGTGGCTCAGCATCACGGCTCCACAGCCAGCCTCTGCCACTTAACACATCTGCATCTCGGGCAGGTTCCTTAACCTCGGCTCGGACCTTTTCTCTCATATAATCGTGTGAGGATTGAATCAAGCGCCTGACAAATTAAAAAAATAGATCGGGGGAAAAACCGGAATGACACAGGAGGGCACACTGGATGGAACGAGCTGCCTCGGCACTGAATTAACTGTCACTGGAGTAACAACTCCGATGGTTCACGTCCTGCTTCTTGCAAGGCATGTGTCCGGCGTCAGGAACATGCTGTCGAGTGATGAAGACACAAGCCCTGGTTTCCAGGAAGACCAGGAGTGGGAGTGGACATGGGAGACGGGAAACAGGAGGTAGGGAGTAGTACTACAGAGGTAGAGGTAATAAATCACTGTGTCAGCAGTTCCAAAAAATACATTCCTGCACTGAAGGATTGCTTTGGGGGGGTGGGAGGAGACGGATTCTGGGCTTCGATGTCTTAAGAGATAGGTAGGGCAAATTTCTCACTGGAAACATAACCAGGCTACTTTATTTAGGATGCCATTAGACCTAAAAAAGGAGTTAGTTACTGACACACCTACCAGTTTTCAATCAGTCCCAAATTGCTTTAAATATAACTATGTAAAAAATGCATTAGCAGCAATGCTAATTATGAGGCAAAGGTACTTATTTTAATGTTATGATCATTAGTAAAAATAATTGAAAATTTTTTGTTATGTTAATCCCCATACATCATTAGATTTAGATGTAGTGTTCCATGATTCATTGTTTGTGCATAACACCCAGTGCTCCATGCAGAACGTGCCCTCCTCAATACCATCACCAGGCCAACCCAACCTCCCACCCCCCTCCCCTCTAGAACCCTCAGTCCGTTTTTCAGAGTCCATCGTCTCTCATGGTTCGTCTACCCCTCCGATTTCCCCTGCTTCATTCTTCCCCTCCTGCTACCTTCTTCTTCTTTTTTTCTTAACATATATTGCATTATTTGTTTCAGAGGTACAGATCTGAGATTCAACAGTCTTGCACACTTCACAGCGCTTACCAGAGCACATACCCTCTCCAGTGTCTATCACCCAGTCACCCCATCCTTCCCACCCCACCCCACTCCAGCAACCATTTGTTTCCTGTGATTAAGAATTCCTCATATCAGTGAGATCATATGATACATGTCTTTCTCTGTTTGACTTATTTCGCTCAACATAATACCCTCCAGTTCCATCCACGTCGTTGCAAATGGCAAGATCTCATTCCTTTTGATGGCTGCATGATATTCCATTGTATATATATACCACTTCTTTATCCATTCATCTGTCGATGGACATCTTGGCTCTTTCCACAGTTTGGCTAGTGTGGACATTGCTGCTATAAACATCAGGGTGCACGTACCCTTTCGGATCCCTACTTTTGTATCTTTGGGGTAAATACCCAGTAGTGCAATTGCTGGATCATATGGTAGCTCTATTTTCAACTTTTTGAGGAACCTCCATACTGTTTTCCAGAGTGGCTACACCAGCTTGCATTCCCACCAACAGTGTAGGAGGGTTCCCCAATTGAAATTTTTTAAATGGAATCCCTGAAATGAGGCTAGAAGAGACATCTACATAGGAAGTAGATGTAGCCATCTTCAGTTATCTTGTGAAGTGTTGGGAGTAAAACAGGAAATATTTGGCCAAGAGAAAAACTTACCATTGGGGGGTGGGAGCACTGTAGTTACCAACAAATTTGAAAGACTCGGCTGTTTTTCAACCTGTTGGAAGCCAACTTCTACCACTATTTTTGAAGAAACACTTGGCAGCTTCTAACAGACACATATAAACTGAAATAATTCTGTTCAGGAAATTTTAGTTGAATTTGGCTCTCTGGCTTGCTTGTACATTCCCCATGTTTTGGCTGTCCAGTACGGACACCTTTTCTTAGCTCCTTTTTGGATCTTACCCGAGGCAGATTCTGACTTTCTTGTCAATGAAAGCACATGTAGAAAAGTTCTCTTCAAAGTTTGCCGTTAACCGCCTCCCAAACCCAATGCACCCTGCATACTACCTTCCCTAACAAAAGATGATCTCACGACCCTTGTCAGTTGCTTTAGACAGACGAGTATGTAGTTCTTAATCCTCTGCCAGCCCAAGTAGAAAACCACAACTGGGGCCTTTGCAAGGCGGCTGTCCAGGGCCACTGCCTTTACGGCCCATCTCTTACAAAAACCAGGGCTCGACAACTAGGTAGAGAAGGTGGCACCTGCTTGGTCAGGTGTATCCCACACAGCCAGACCCTTGGCCCTGCCTCCTCCAGTCCTGCTTTGCATTAAAGATTCACTCAATCTCCCCATTCCTCTTAGGTATTTTACAGGTTTTTTGCTTGTTCTAAGCTGAGAATGTTTCCTTAAAAGAAAATGAGGAGCGGATAGACTAAGGATACAGTCCAATTATTTGTCAGGCTTCCCCATCTACAATGAACCAACTGATTTAAATCATTACAGAAAAGGGTGTTATCTCATTATTAGGTAACCAAATCAGAAATGTATATAACAAGAACATGAATACCACACCCTTTGGCATGTGTTCTGTACTTAGTTGCTAGGAAAGATTTTGATGTTTGTAAGGAAGATCATACTAAATTAGCCGTTTCCATGCAGCAGGTTCTGCCAAGTGGTTTGGTAAACTTCTCTCCACACCTTTCTCCTTCACTGAGGTTCACAATGTACATCAGATATCTTCTGAGAAGTTTTAACATAAATATCTAACTTTAATCTGGCAGTTGCCAATCATATTTGGGCACAGAATACCCTTCAAAGCACATCTATGAACACCAGTGAAATAGCATCTAAGAAACCTTAGGCAGGAAATGGTGAACTTAAAACTAAATGTAAAATAGCAAACTCCAGCACAGGAAAAATCAGGAAACAATATGGTAACAAGAGGCATATTTTATTAAGTTTTCCCAATAATTGGAAACATTGCTTCTAAAATGCAAGTTACAATTCAAATGATACCACGAGTAACTGGGATACATATTGAGTATTTTCAGAGACCAGCTTCCATATCTTGATCACTAAATGGAAAGATTCTTCAGAAGAATAGCCCCTTACCCTACATACAGAAGGAGAAAAAAAAAATTAAGGATGCCATGATGATATCTATCAAATAACTGGAAAACATTTTAAAAGTCAATTTAGTGTACACTATTGACATGTAAAAAAACATAAATGAATTTGTAGTGAACATTTCCATAAGGAAGATATTCCATCTAGGAGGATGATAAACTCATGTTGAATATATGCTTGAACTACGATACTACAAGGAAAGAAACACTTTTTATGAAGCCCAATTTCTAATGTCATTATAACTAATGAAAGGAAATTACTTGAGTTATCTCCAACATTTAAAAGGGCATTCTTTAACTACTTGGCCTAAATCTGAAGATATGTGATTCCTCTGTTTCACTCCAGAGATTTATTTCTACCTACCCAGCTAGCGTTACAAAATGATAAAGAACAGGTAAAGCATAGTAGGAGGAATGCAAATATGAAACAGATCTGAGAACATTACACGTTTCTCTGCCTCTACCACATACCATAAAACATACATTTTTTTGTATTGTAGAAATGTCCTGAGTATTTGTTTTGGAGAAAAAAGGTGGTTATTATAATGGGAAAAAAATTACAGTATCTTAAAAACAAACTTATTTTGAAAGTAGTAGAGTGGAATGAGTTATACATTGGGGAATAAACAGGATGCAACTAATAAGGACTAAGGGGTGAATGGGAATACTGGGAAGGTCTTTAAAATTAAGATGTTCCCTTCCTTCAAAACCTCGATAGTCCAACCTGATACTCCAACCTCGATACTCTAAACCATGACTTTGAAAATAATGACCCTGTTGAAATGAAATGAAATGAAATGAAAACCATGACCCTGTTCACATAGAGAACAGGGTCTACAGTGTATCTGCATTCTGGATCTCACCTGCCCCCTGACTACAAAAAAACTATGATCTTTTTGAGGGTTAGATCCTAAGACTTAGGAACCCTGACATCTGACAATCACGGGATATTTTTGCTGTGAAGTATAATAAAACAAATGCTTCATCAGAGATTAACTTATTTGAAAACTATACAGCTACTCTGAAATATGAATGCAGGCTAAAGATAATTCACTAAATTATGACCATCATCTAACAGAGGTCTTACAAAGTTCCAAATCTCTGCCTCAGCAAACTTATTAATTCTAATAAAATCATGTATATGTACATAAAGAATGTTTATGGGTTTTTAGAATAGACAAATCTAGGAATGCTAAATTTGGGAACAAAGATCTACTTCTCTCACTTAAGAAGAAAAACGGACAGTGGTTCTAAATATTTTGTCTATCTTAAGACCATGACTGGAGCACTCGCAAAAACAGTTACTAAAAGGGAAAGTTGGGGACTAGAGTATTAAAGGAGTTGAGTAACAGTGGTCTTAAAGTTCCACTTTCTATTCTTTTCCATCTGCCAAGGAGATAAGATACCTAAAGCTAAAGACTACTTTTTGATACATGTGATTTTGGTGGTTTCTATTTTTCTAATAAACCCTAGGAACCAATTTTGATGGCCATGTGTTATGTGGAATCTCACCATTCAAGACTCTTTCATAAAGAGTCACTAAATTTGACTACTGTTTTTGTGGGGGGGGAGGGGAAGGAGGCAGGAAGCATGATAAAACAAGCACTTTACAGATGTACACCACAACAGCACTACTATTCTAAGTGCCAAACATTAACGAAACCCAAATCATAATGCTGAAAACTAAAAAATTAGACAAAAATTAAATGGAGAACTCTTTTTTTTTTTTTCTTTCTTTTTTTTTTTTTTAAATCTTTTATAGGACAGAAACCTTAGCTCATGTCTTCTGGCTGTCATCATCTTCCACTGAACTGCACCTAAAACACAAAGAACAAGTAACAAGCAACTTTGTTTTTTAAAGAATAGGTAACAGTTTTGAAGGCATAAGATGAACTGTTTCTAGTGGAAGTTAACTTACTTATTAAATAATTACATAAAATGAAGTCACGAAAATCACCAGAAGCATCAAAATGTTAACTATTTCGAGTGAAAATAACTACCAAAGACTTGAATATGCAGCATATTATCACCAAAATAAAGTAAGTCATGGTGGGAAAATCACTACCCATTTTGGTAAGGTAGACAGCTGCACCTGTGATGCCTTATTTAAAAGGCTTCACTCTACCTGAAGATGGAAACCACCTTTTATTTATTTTTAGTAAGTCTAAACCATGAAGAGACGGGGTGTAGATTCAAAGTTGGCTTATTATATCATCTATCACCTTCCTGGCTGTAGTTCATTTCATGTCTTTAAATGGAGCAAAACCCACCAGAAGAATGCTGCTATTCTGATTTTCCATTCTTGAATGCACCAAAATGTGCATGCTTGTTGTAATTAGGTGCCTGGGTGAATAAAAAAATCCCATTTACAATTTAAAAATATTATTTAAACCCCCAAAATCTGGTTATTTTCCACAATGCTCAGGAAGACAAGCATTAATTTTACCACCCAAACAGAAAAGATGTACATACATTTCTGAAAATGCTCTCCTACCATGTTAAAAATACAAATTCCTTTGTGTTGCAAAACCAAGCTGATTTACAGGATTTTGTTTTAAATCGTTGCTAAATGTTTAACTACACATGCTGTCAGAAATAACCTTGTTAAGAAGGTGAAGCTGGTGTCTCAGCAAATCAGACCCCTTGGAGAAGGCGGTGAGTGGCCTGTGCCCCGTTTTCCTTTTCTCTTTCCGCACCATCAAAAGGAAAAGTGAGAAAATAGCAGAAACATTAGTTAAATCCTGAATTACACCCTGTAACCTACAGGAATTATCTCACTACACTGAAAGCTGACAATATCTGTAGGATTTTTTTTTTTTTGATGAAATAGTTAGGATCCTGATTATTAATAAAATGATCAACTTGTGGCTAAGCTTACATCTTTAACAAATAAATCTTTTAAAGACTTAAAGGAAGAAATGAAAGATTGCTTTTTAACTATGTATGGTTTACCTGACTTACCAGCACTGAAGACAAAAACTTTTAAAAATGGCTACAAATGCCTTGTTCACAAAAGACTTTATTATCTAGTGATGCATACTGAGAACATACAGAAATCTGCATGGTCCACTTCACATGCAGGAGAACAATCTTCACTTTACAATAAGTGAGTGTCAACTGTTTTATGCAATAGACAACACTTTAAAGTCACATTCTTAAAGAAAAGCTTCATTTACAAAAGAAATAAAAGGTAAAGAAGCAATTACCGCTTTTAAAAAGCAGCTGCTTTGTTCAAGAGTGGAAGGTTTATGCCTGTATTGAAAGACAACATGATCACAAATAATGAAAACAATGAACAAATGAAAAACACTTTTACCATAAAGCAGTACACTTTCAAAATGACATACAAATAGTTAAAAATTTCATTATGTTGTCTAACTTTTAAATATGAGGACTTTCAGAATTAGGCCTCAACATGTGTAATTAGTAAAGGAAAACTATGCCTTGTTTCTACGTCACTACGAACTGTATTTAACAAAATGTATATAAAGTCTATAGCAAGTTGATTTAAAAAAATTAAAGTTAATAAGAAACAGTACACTGAAGGCGCTCTATCCATCAAGCGCGTACTCTTCCAATTTTAAATGTGATGAACAGAACAGAAACTGTAACTATGCCACAGTTGCAATGCCAAAAAATAAAACAAGATCAGTTACCACACATGCAGGGAATTCCGCCACAAAGCTAATATCCCTCATTTGTCAACTGTTCCAGTAAAATAACATCTTAAAACACCAGTGATGTTGATGGTTTAGCTTACCTTCAGTGTACTGAATGTTGTACACAACCTGCTTTAAAAGAGGAGACCATCCCTGCAGGCAGGCTCAAGAAGGAACAGACCCCTTTCGGCACTGACTACACCAAGGGCATGCTGCTGTGGCCTGCACACACACACCTAGGAAAACGTGAATATAAACAGCATTTATGCTGGCCATTTTATCTGAAGACCAATATGAAGCCAAGTTTGCTAAAAATAAATCAACCACCCAGTATTACTACTCATTTTATAACAGATGCTTTTGTCTTTTATGTGAACTGCAACCATATACATTAGCACTGTAATTTTGTGCAGTCTTGGCAATTAAAACAGTTCTACAGTGAAATTTCACATAAGACACAAAACAGATTAACTAACATTTCTAAAAGAAATATCACCCTTGGTGTTAATTCAAATATATCATGCTTCCTCAAATTTGCTGGAGAAATATTTATAAGTTTATATACATTAATAAACTGCTGTGAAATTTCTTCAGTCTTTGTATTTAATTACTCAAACCCTTGGAGCTTCTTTCATCTCGTTTAAATTTTTTCCTGGATGAAGGCATGCTGTAGGGCCTGGTTGATGCTAATTCGTTTAGCGGGGTCCAACATTAGGATCTGGTCCAACAAGTCCTTTAGCTGGTGTACTTTTTTACGTTGGTCTTCAGGAAGTCGCTGGCACCCAATCAAGTCAGCCAACAGGTCCTTGGTTGGATTAATGGTGCTCATGACAGTAACTTTCTCCTAAAAATAATTTTTAAAAATGTGTATGTCTACATGAGTTACTAAACATATGTACCTTAATTTAAATCAGACTGCTTGGGTGTATCAGAACTTCTAATATATATACATATGTGTGTGTGTATATATATATCATATATATATATTATCTACTCATTTAAAACTTCTACGTGACTTCCTCTATTCCCTACATCTTTTTAAGAAGTAACCGAAAAACCTGAATGAAAAAAAATCAACCCCAAGTTAGCTATGATAGTTTTTAAAAAACATACTCCAAGTTTATAAAAAGATCAAACTGCTAACAGAAAGAAGTCTATGAAAATCCCCACACCGTTAAGTAATTAATAATAATTAACAGTAAGCACTTCCTGTTTTAACTGTCCTCTCCCTACCCCGAAGTGGTGACAGACAGACATGGAAGTGTTTGTTGTTAAGGGCTCTGACAAAGTTAGGAACAGACAATATAACGGGGCAAAAACAGAGAAGTCCTTACTTCAACCTGGAGGATTTGGAAAGGCTCATAGAGAATGTGTATTTCCCCTGAGGCTTGAAGTTGGATAAATTATTTTTAGGGGATGAGGAAGGAGAGGAGGCAAATAAGGTCAGGATGGTCTGTGAACAAAGGCAGAGAGGTATGACACAGCTGCCTGCCAAGTATGGAACGGGGGGGGGTGGTTTACAGAGTACCATGAGGGGGTATGCAAACTGCTCAAGACAGCAGAGGCAGAGTTCATCAGAGAGGAACCCAATGAAGGGATTTTAAGCACGGAGAATAACATGATCAGATTTGGTTTCAAAAAGATCACTCTGGTAAGCAGTCCAGAAGCTGGATGGGAGGCCAGAGAAAGAAAATGATCCAAAGAACAGAGGAAGAGGGTCTAATTATGACCTATGATAAAAACAGACTCATTATACTAGACAAACATTTTAAAATCCTTCCTCTTTCTCATAACCTCATTGTGTTTTATTCAGGAATTGGCCACCAGCAAAAAGGATTTATTTTTAGTGTTTTAAATATTCACAGCTCCTACTACCACCCAGTATTCAGCTCATTCACAATAAGACAATCATTTACTGTAGCACAGTTAAAAGAGACTTACCCTCTCTGTTACTTTATCAACTTCTATATACATGAAGTTGAGGTTTTGATCAAAATGTTGGTCTTTGAATACACCTTTCCGAATCATCTGGCAATAAAGCAAAATAAAACTTGGGTTTTGAACTATTATAAAACAGTCTGGCCTACCAACAATTTGATACATAACAAGTTACAAATAGGACTTATTTAGTCTCCTCATTTAAGGATTCACTTAGATTCCTTGCTCTGGAGAGTCTAACATCTTTGAAAAAGCTAATATAAATGCTGTGCCTGAAACTACTCAGTAACTTGAAATTATATTTTCCCAGGCAGTGACTTAAACCAATTATAATATCACGTTGTGCTTTCACTATTCAAAATTGAGACTCAAACAAAGACAAAAAATCATTTGTTCCTAGGAAAAATATTACACAGTTGGGGCCTTTTTTCTTGGCAGCTTAAGAAACCCGATGACGTTTTACAAATTATGTTCCAATAGCCCTGAAATGATACAGGTCAGACCTCATTAAAACAAATACCAACATAACTAATTTCTGTGTAACTTATTCTAAACAAGTCCAACATGAGAGAATTTGGACAGTACCTAAAAAACGTAGTGGCTTCTGACCTATATGGGGAAAAATCTGTATAATCTCTCAGAAATTCAGCAAATAAGCTGAAATCATCAAAGTTTAAGATATGGCCCTCAGACAGGTTTATAAATGCTTAAAGTTTCTGCTTCATTTCTGAAACTAATTATTGTGGCTGAAGCATTAAGGGTGAGTTTTATGTTAGAAAGATGTCAATTTTAAGTGAGTTTTTCTTGGTACCTTCCTATCCCAAATAACTTCCAATCTTTAATAAACTGATTGCCATCAAGTTCCTTTTCCAATATTCACCCGTCATTCTCTGACAACTGAGCCCTTCTTCACATCTGAACTAACCTGACCTGCATCTTTTTTCATTCCACCTCTCAAGCATGTTTGGTGCTGTTACCAATAACGGTGTGCTCCCAAGGCTGCTTCTCTGCCCATCATTAAAGGATAATAAATGGAACAAGGGAAGAACAAAGATATGAAACAGTCAAATATACATGTATGTTGCTTAACAAATTTATGCTCATCAATCTCTCTTCCTCAATTCCAACTCTAAACTATGGCCCCCTACCCTCCTGCTTAATTTAAGAGGGTAAAGAAAAGCAAAGAGAGACATTAGAGGGGAACAGGAAAATGGAGTTCTCTTATTCACTTCTGATAGCTCTTGGCTGATTAGATCCACTGTTTTTTAAACAGCAGAAATAAACAAAAGCTAAGGAATTACAATAGCCATACACCTGCCTTTCTGAAATGGTTTTACAGCCACTAGTGATGAGTAAAGTGTCAGCAATCCACTGGTCTACAGTAAACTATTGCTAAGACCTTGGGGGGAAAAAAAAAAATAACAGCTCGCATTAATGTCCTACCTTATTCGGCATCTTTCCTTTGAGATCCATGGCGAGCTTCAACATATGGTTATTGGTTTTGCCAGGAAATAAAATTTTTCCAGTGTAGAGTTCATATAAGGTACAACCTACAGACCACATATCTATACCATAATCATAGCTTTTACCTATAACTGAAAACAAAATGGAAGTTTAATACATGACGTCAGAAACAATCAACTATTTATTTTCATTAATAGGGGATTAATTTAGCTTGGCCTACATAACTGCAATCTTAATACCTCGCTTTGGCATTAGCCTCATGTTTTTTCCCCACTAATTCTTAACAGACTCTTAAACTTAAAAACCTTAAAAAATGAGGGAATGCGGAAGGAATGGGGGGAGGGGCAGAAGGAAATGTGTATTTCTTTTCTCATTTCACCTTTGGTGGAGGTGCTAACCAGCCTCAACCAAGGCAACAGGAAGAGCAAAAACAAAGGTCCCATACAATCCATAAATTTGATAATCAGACCTTGAGTAATCAAGAGCAGTCTTCTAAAGCCGAGGATTTTCCACAATTGTTTTGCTACTCTTGTCAGACATGATCAAGACTCCTGTCACAACTACCACCATTCCACCTGAGGAGGATGAACTTGCTACGGTTCCCTTCCTCATCAATGACCTCGTGCAGCTGCTGAAGTGCGATGGAAAACAGTACTTAGACATTAAATATGCTGTTTCCACTGCATATGATGGCCCAGGTCAAAGAACATTTGAAGAAACTTACTGATTTCAGGAGCACGATAAAATCTACTGACAAGATAAGGTGTTATGTCATTATCCGCAACATGTGAAGCCGACCCAAAATCGCAGAGCTTTAAAATAGTTTTTGATTCATTAACCTGCAAAACATTTTATCATGGAAGTTTAATTCATGCCAGAAATAATTAAGACAAGTAATCAGATAAAAATAATTGGCTTTGAGAAGTTACTTCCAATACTGAAAACAAAGTTACCCATTTATAATTCCTTTTCTAATTATAACTCAATTTCCTATTATAAAAAATTAAGAGCTATCAAATATTTGATTATAATTAGTAAAATAACTTTTTTCAGTGAGGAAATATGGGATAATACCAAGTACACTTAATCTTAACCAATGCTACTTTGAAAAGGGAGGGGTAGTAAGAGAAAAATCTTATTGAAGTAAAGCATCTTCTAAAAATCCCCAGAATACCTGAATAAAGTCGAGTTACTATTTAAAGGAACATGAAGACAATTCATTAATAAGGGATCAGACTTAGATTAACTTTCAATTAATTGAAGGTAACTTTCAGTTGCCAGAAAATTACGATAGCAATGAAAGCAGAGGATGATTCAGATTAAATCTGGACAAAAACAGAATAAAAACATTCTTCATCCGAAGCTGCTAGACCATCCCAAATTTAGCAATCACTTCAAGTCTAAAAAATATTAAATCCCTTAAATATAAAGAAGGTATTAGTCAAGAAAATGTTAAATATATTTGGCACAACTGATAAATATGAACTCTATATTAGTCATTTGTTTCTTTTTTTCCTTTGTAAATACTTCAACATACACAGTAACAGTGACATCTGCTGAGAAAGGCTGGAGTTGCTCCCATGGCTGCTGCCACTCATGAGTCAGAAGCATGTTCAGGATTAACAAGTGAAGGTAATTCATATTCCAGAGTCCCTTCCCCCCTTCAAAAGAGACACACACAAATTCCGAGTTGGGACTTGAACTTGGCCTACGGTTCCCACCCCAAAGAAACTTAACACTTTAAATAAATAGTCCTAGCCACTTTCTACTGGGATATCATAAAGCTTGGTCAGTGTTACAGATTGGCCCCTTACAGATGATATCCACAGAATTAAGCTATTAATGGAAATGATTATTTTTCACTGCCATATTCATAACCATTCTCTTCACCTGGGGAATCAAGAAAATCGGTATCTTCAAATGCACAAGTACTTCCGAAACTTTTTAAAGTCTAAACTGCATTCAGCTATTTAAGGATGCAGTTTAAAACCCAGAGAAATCCCAAGACAATTTTAAAATTAAAACCTATCAGTAGGACTCTTGGGCTGGCTAAAATGCCTTCAACAACCTCAAGGTATCCACACTTATACGCACTCCTAGACAACATTTATCCTCCCTGAGGAACATGGTGCTCCTACCACACTGATGGTTGAAATCCTGGGCTAAAAGCTTTGGATTTTCATTCACAAACAGCTCCCTCTTTCTGATGTCTACTTCCTCCTTTCTCAGGAAGGAGACAACATTCAATGTCTGAAGTCCATGTGTAAACTTATACTAGAGTAGCAGTAACTCAAGGAAAATAAAGTTTTAAAAACAAGAGCTCCTAAGATACTGGCAAATGTCTTACTCTTTAACTTCTACGGTGGTTACACAGATGTTCACTGCATAGTTACCTTTAAATTTTACGTATTTTATACGTTCTTTGATACAGATGGTATACTTCACAATTTAAAATAGAGAAACAAAACTGAGGTAAAAATTAACTATGAAGTTGAAAAGTCTACAATTCAATCCTAACATGAAGTCTACAATTCATTTATTTCACTGTAATTACTTAGCTCCTCTAACCCCAGGTTATATTAGATGTGTAACACACTGTAAAGTCAAACAAAACCTATTAAGATGGAATGTCTCATTATTAACGTGGTAGTCTGGAAGGATATATTTTAAGATATTAAAAAAGAAGAAAAATCTGAACTAAGAGCTAAGCTACTGATGAGGAGTCCTTAACAAACTTTAATGGCATCATAATCTTCTAAAAGTGGTACCTGGGTGGCTCAAGTCAGTTAAGCATCTGCCTTTGGCTCAGGTCATGATCTCAGGGTCCTGGGATCGAGCCCCACTTTGGGCTCCCTGCTCAGTGGAGAGTCTGCTTCTCCCTCTCCCGCTGTCCCTCCCCCCTGCTTGTGCTGTCTTAAATAAATAAAATCATAAAAAAAAAAAAAAAAGTGTAGAATGTTATTAGCAGACAAGGTAGGAATTCCCCAAGTTGTGAACACACCCCCAACTCTGAATACCTCAGAACAGGGGTGAATAAATGGTGCCAGGGAAGGAAGCAGTATGTGTGTATTCATCGCTCCCCTATGATAATGTATTACTTCTAAATTTAAAAAACACAAACCCTGTGAAAGCTGCATATTACCATCCCAGAAGTCTTTAGTTAAGAGATGAAGAATGTGAAAGGAACGCCTTTCAACGTAACATCTAATCACAACCTAGCTCTGCTGTCTTTGGGCGCCTCCTGGGCACCTATAAAACCCTACTCCGTACCTCTATTTAAGAGATAATTCCTTAAATGTCTCTAAGCCTGTCAGACCACAAATTAGAGAACAAAGAGCTGTGAACACCATTTCAAAACAGCAACATGTGCATTTTTGTGTTTAGATACCAGAGGAAGCCCGTCATTACTACATTAAGGCACTTTTGGGATTTGTGTGTACTCCAAATCCATCAATCTAAGGGAAAAAATTGAGAAAATAGCCTATTTCCTCTTTCTTCATACTTTACTATAAAATTTCATGGACCAATTTCCAAAAAAGTAAACACTGGTTAAGTCCTTTGTAATGAGTAATATGCTGAGTTATTAAGACATCATTTCTAGAATAATACAGTGGTTATCACATTACTGGCAAGAACCTATATGGATATACAAGGTAGCCTGATTGTTTGACTTACCAGGATATTGTCTGGCTTGATATCTGCATGTAGGATATTGCATCTTTTAAGGAGTTTTAATGCCAAGAACAACTGCTGACTGTAGGATCTTACAGCTTTAATATGAAGACCAACATCCTTACCATATTTTTTTAACACCTCTCGTAAATTCATACTTTTAGGAGAGAAAAAAGAAAACCCACAAAATTAGGGCTTAAAATGCAAAATGGAAATAAAAAAGGCAAAACCATGTTCAAGCATGAAGTAAAATCAAATCCAAAACATTAACTAAAATGAAAGTATCTGTTCATGAGCCCAGATGTTTAATAAATTATTCTACACTAAAATGAGAGCACATGAACCTGTATATAAATAAGACAGTTTTCCAATAAAACTCAATTTTCAAAATAAATGGAAGGGAAGACACACAATGGTAAAATTCCTATTGATTTTAGAATGGGTTTACATTTGAAAGCCCAAAACTGAAGCCATACTTTTGAAGATCAAAACTATTTCTACTTCACTACTCCCATTTCTTTTTATTACATTGTGATCCTTCCTTGGAAGTATTTAACTTTCAGAGAATCTCTGTTGAGCTGAAGGCTACATAAGGTTACTATCTGACACATAGTATGTGGTCAATTACGGTCTTTACATTAATGACTGTCATGAAGCTAGTTCTTAACCGAAAGTAAAAAAAAAAAAAAACCAGAGCTAACTGGAAAAAATAAACATCCAGAAATCTGTCATGGTGTTTATCTAAATTTTTAGTAATGTACAGGTTTGACAGTGTACCTTAGAGGCTCAAATACGAGACAGAGATGCTGTTTGTGATAAAAGTGTCTGAAGAGTCGCAAACAATGAAATTTGTCATCAGGATCAGCATCATTAAGTTTTTTCAGGAATTCTAGTTCTTTTAAGCCAGTTTTTTGCCTGAAAAGAAAATTAGTTCAAAACTGAATACAGAATTTAAGAAAACTAAACAATATTTACTAGTTCCAGTCTGATTTACCATAGGTGATAAGTAGCTTGGATTTTTAAGTACTAATAGTAAATCTGTTGAGGAATGACAAGTCTGTAGGTCACTCACACAATACTTTATATTTAGTGAAATATGGTTTCCATGGAGCTTATTTCCACAATAATTAACAGAAAAAAACACTGGAGGAACAAACCCACCCTGCCTGAAGGGAATTCAATCTTCCACATTTTCTTTTTTCTCTGGGGGCGGGGGGGTGTGGGTGGAGGGAGAGGGAGAATCCTAAGCAGGTTCCACGCCCAGCTCAGAGCCAGATGTGGGGCTCAATCTCACAACCCTGAGATCATGACCTGAGCTGAAATCAAGAGCTGGACGCTCAACTGACTGAGCCATGCAGGTGCCCCCAATCCTGCATATTTTTATTTAAAAAATGTCTTGATGTAAATGCTATTTTAACAAAAATGGAACCACACTATATAAGAAACTAAGAATGGATGTCTTACCAAGTATTAACATTTGGTTTTCCTCTAAAATTCTAGTTATAATTTGTCAATAGGCCATATTTTTAAAATGGCTTTAAAATATTTTCTAAGCCTAGGGCAGCTGAAGATGTTAATATACATCTGTAACATTATTCCAGTGTTTTAAAGCCGATGGCAAGTTGACTTTAACATCAGCTCAGTGTGTGGTATAGACTGTGCTTATTAAAACCTATGGGTATGGCAATTACCTCTGTTATATAAAAGAAAAAAAGGCAGCAGATTCACTACCAGACTTCTGTTATTTTATAACTTCAATACTTTTACAGATTGTGTTACTTTTTAAAAATGTTCATTTGTGACTACCTGTGTTTTTAGGTTTCATTACATAGGTCTTCTGAACTTACATGAGCTCATTGTTTCTGATGATTTTTACTGCCACTTCTTGGTTGGCTCTTGCATTATCTCTGGCTCGTACGACATTACTGAAGACACCCTGGCCAGTGTAGCCATATACATTGTAACGCTTATCTAGGACTTCACCTATGTTCACACCTGAAAAAGTAAATTAAGAAACGGGAATTTCGACCATAGTAAATACTTACTTAACAAAACTATGAGATACATATAATAAAGCAAAAAGAAACACAGCGCAGTCACTTAAAAAAAAACCGTGTCAAATCTCTACTGTGTGCCTGGCTTCCTAGACACCACGGAGAATCAAAGACGAGCCTCCATCAGTCACTCTTTCATAATGTGGTTCAAGCTGCATGCCCACTTCCTATCAACTGCTAAGGATTTTAACATTGAGTAGGGAAGAAATGTGCTCACTGAAGTGTTTCCAACTGTAGCCCTGCATGACAAATACTGCATGACTGGCATCCCAAGTTCCTGTATGTCGTTTTTCTTGGTTTCAGATCAAGACAAGCAAGTGACGTTCCCCCTTCCTCCTGGAGGATTATCTCATGGCTGAAAACAACTTTGAATAGATTTAAGTTGCACATCAAGTCTTCACCTCACTTCTATTCATGAAGCTCCTGAGCTGCTTACTAGAATACAACATGGGTTCATGCAGCTATTAGATGTGCCACACATTTTAAGTGATGGCACTGTGACGTGACTTTCAGAGTTCTCCAACATGTAACTTCATCAAGCAACATACTTCTACAAAATGTTGTAATGAACCCTAAAATTAATCAGAACTGTGAACTTACGGTAATAGCCTTCTGCATCTGTCCAGTTATCCCTGAGGTTGGGATTCTCTTTGAAATCTTTTCCAATGCCAGCAGCCCGAAGACGAGCACTCTGAAATGGAGGAGGCAACAAGAGAGCCATTTATCTAACAGCTACTACTCATCAGGCAGATACTTAAAGCACTTCCTTTAAAACCAAAATGGGGAAAACCAGCTATAATTTAATAAAACATTTTAGCCAAATTAAGTCAACTCCTACCGTCACCTACGTAAATGCAATACAGCTGAAAACATGACTGATTACCAAAGTCTCACATCACAGTAATGCTCAGGAAAGAAATTAACAAAGTTATCTTCAAAAACTCTTAGTAATATGATTAGGGGATTATAAATGAAAATAAAAACTCAAAACCAGATCTGGTTTTTACAGTTATTAATAGACAGAGGAGGACAAAAATTATAGATGGGCACTCAGTTAACAGCGTTCAACTCTCTCTCCTACCAATTTTCACATTTCTTTTACTGCTTTGTCCACGAAACACCCCTTGATTTCTCTGCCCATATATGCTGCACTAACAGTTAGTGTGAGAAATTAAGAGTATGTGTAACTTCTGAAGAACATGACACATCACTTTCCATGATACCCGGAAGACCCTTCACTATCATCCAAGTAATGATGGGCGGGGATACTTTCACTGGCTTAATCATTTCATCCTCTCTTAACCTAGCTTTGTTTTGGTGTTCCCGTTGCAAAATATAGATACATTACTTAAGCCAATGACCAATGTCTTCAGGGTCCTAGACACAGACTGTTTAATCTTACTCTATTTTTTCCTCTATTTTATGTTTGGCTCTCCACTTTCCCTTGCCAAAGCCTCCTTATTTCTCATGTTCTCTTGAATTTATAATGAAAATGGTCTCATACTTTTAAATATGTTAAAACTTTTTCAAGAAAAGTCATTAATAGCTAAAAAACCAAAATTTCTTAACCCCTTCTTTGTAATAACATTCCCAACTCTTCAGTGAATGTATCAGGATCCAAATCCTAAGTTCTCATTCACCCACAATATAGAAGCCCAAAGTGGACTCTGTTTTAAACCAGGCCTGGAAATTACTGACATCATCTTGTCTCAGCTAACTATGTATCCCCGCCCCCCTGCCCCAGTTTGTAAATCCAAAAAAAAAGTTGTTTCAAAAAAATAAATACACGTTTAAGTCATTTGGTGTTTAACTTTTCGGAAGCTCTCAAATTGTTCTGCCATACTTTTTAAAATCTTAACCTAATTTTAGACTTCGAGAAATGCTGCAACACTAGTACAAAGAGTTTCCAGATACCATTCATTCAGACTGTCCAAGTGTTAACATTTATTAATTTGCTTTATCCTTTTCTCTCTCTATATATAACACACATACTTATTATATATATGTATAATTATTTTTTTAATAAAGATTTTATTTATTTGACACACACACGGGGGAAGGAGGGGGGCGAGCAAGCACAAGCAGGAGGGAGCGGCAGGCAGGGGAGAAGCAGGCTCCCCACTGAGCAAGGAGCCTGATGTGGGGCTCAATCCCAGGACCCTAGGATCATGACCTGAGCCAAAGGCAGCCGCCTAACCGACTGAGCCACCCAGGCACCCCTATATATATTTTAATAGTATGTTTTTATGACTTAAAATTACTTACATCAAAGTAGGCAGCAAACATATCATCAGATTCGGTAAACATATCAGGTGCCAAGAGCTTTTTCTGAGATGAACCTTAATGGAAATAAACAGTAATATTTGAAAAATGAAGGGATACAAATTAAAACACAAATAAGTCATTAATGTAATATCACTAGCAATTCAAACCTGCACATCAGTTTTTCATTAATACCCAACTTAAAGTCACTTTGTAACACTTAAGATCTAGAAAACTATCCATTTTTTACTAAAAGGATGCATTTTAGAAAGTTGAAAGACCTAATGTCAGTATTTTCTCCACTGTTAAATTAATATGCTAATAGCTAAATTAATGATTATGTATTACAATCAAAGTTCCTCTTTAAAAAATTCCATTTCCAAATTGCAACTTAAAATCTCAAAAGGTTAATACCCCCACTATAGATCTAGATCTCTATGTATCTCTCCCCTAAAAAGTCCAATAATCCCCAAGAAAAACTGGGCAAAATAAAAGGAGTTCCTTAAAAAAAGAAAGGAAGAAAGAATGGAAGGGCTTTAAGGATATGAACACACACCCATTCTCACTTATAGTAAGGGAAATACAGATTAAAATTATAAAGAAATACCCCTTCTCTTTTGAGATAGGCTAAAAAACCTGAAAGTATGGTAACATCCTGGTAACAAGGCCCTGATAAGCAAGTACTCAAACATTACTTGCAGGAGGCAAAACTGTGCAAGCCTTACAGAGTGAAATTTGGAAACACAGCACATTATACTCTTTTGACCCAGCAACCCCACTTCTAGGAAATTATTTCAAAGATACAGTTTTAGCATTAAAAAAATGACTTAATGCACAATGCCATTATAATTAATGTTCCAATGAATAATAACAACTGGATACAACCCAAACATCCACCATTAGAAGACACAGTGAATAAGCCTTGGCATATTCATTACACTGGAATAGCACAGAACTGTAAAAAGGAATGAAGATCTTTTCATACTGATGAGTGTGTATATATTTGTGTGTGCTTGTGTAGGCAAAATACAAATACACATGTGAAAGACATTTTAATAATCAAATAGAAAATTCCTAAAAATCAAAAGCAATTAAAATAAACCCAAATCTATCAAATGGGTGGTATAACCATACCAAAGTATTTCAAATGACTTTACACCTTGGAATGTATCCCAAGGATAAAAAGAATCATTAAATTTTCAATTTGCATTCACTACATTCAATATTGGTGATCATACTGATAACTGTAAATAAAAGCTTCAAAATAACCTAAATAATCAATGTTATTGGGAATCATGTTTTTCACTATAAAAGAAACAAGTCAAAAATCAAAGATGTTAATAAAAACCCTGTAATCTCAAGTTTGAATTGGCAATTTTTCAGTATGAACCTCCCCTTTCCAAAAATGCAGAAATGCACGTCCTAGCTTGGTCCACTGAAAAATCCCATGAATAATGGGCACTCCTAAGTGCTTTGTGAAGTCTAAATGGCATTTCCTATTAAATGGAACCCGGGTTCCTTGGAGCAATAGCTGCTTCTATTCTGGGACAAGATATGCACAAGGTGAGCCTGTGATATCTTACAATGTGGTAGAACGAGAGTTTGCAAATTACAGAGTGGGGCAAATTTGGTCCCCTGCTTGTTTTTATATGGCCCATTTTTACATTTTTAAAAGTTTTAGGGAAAAACATAAGAATATTTTGTGACATGTGAAAATTATATGAAATTTAAGTTTTGATGTCCACACAGTTTTTTTCGGAACACAGCTGCTTTGGCATTACAACAGCAGAGTTCAGTAGTTGGAACAGAGAAAAAAAACGCATAAATTACAAAAGCCTAAAATATTGACTATCTGACCTTAAACAGTTGCCAGCCCGTCCTAGAAAGAAACATAATATATTAATACCAATAAATCCTGTAGGGTTTAGATCAAAAAGACATTGGAAACCAACTTAAAAATGCTCCCTCCCTCCCCATCTCAGTTGGAGAGAGAATTTTAGTACATAATGATACCAAATAATAAAAACCTAACAGAAACAACCCAAATCTCACTGGTCATCTATGGTGGTTGTAAATGTACCAATTCTATTCTACCCTAAGTTATCAGTCAATAAAAGAAAATAACCAAGCACTTATCCTGACTTTCCTGTACAAACTATATTTCTTGGTTAACGAAAGAATGGAAACCTCTTCTTTTACAGAATTATAGCTAATAATTCAAAAGGAATTATGGAAATTTAAGAATCACGGCTTCGGAGTGTGCCCACCTGCCCCCACCCCTCATGAAATAGTGGATCTAAGGAATGATGACCAATGGCTGCTGAAACTGCCAGGTGAAGAGCTGAAGGGCAACTTCATGTTGGACAGATGTGATCATCTTATCTAAACACACAATCTCAATATCAATAAAAATAGGACAAGCACACAGCACATGCCACTTGATGTGATGCAAGTACACACCACCACTTAGGCAGTATTCTTGCCCAAAAAAATTAATGTAAATCTACTCAGGTCTCTTACACTTATACTAGTTTATAAGAAACCTGGAGGATAGAAAAAATAAAGATAAATGAAACAAGAATGTGGCAAAATCACAAAAGAAAGAAAAGTTTATAGGACACATGGCCTCAGCATCCTCACAAGAAAATGGGAAGGATGAGAATAACTACTAAAGACTTGGAGATTAAAAGATGTGCATCTTATTTGGATTTTGATTCAAACCAACCAATTGTAATTAGAAAGATATTTAAAAATGATCAATTCTTTAGGTATAATGTTTTTTATTTTTAAAAGATTTTGTTTACTTAGAGAGAAAGTGCGAGCGGGGGAGGGGGGGAGGGGGAGAAGAGAGAGAAGCTTCAAGCAGACTCCCTGCTCAGCATGGAGCCCAAAATGGGGCTCAATCCCAGGACCCTGAGATCATGACCTGAGCCGAAATCATGAGTTGAACGGTTAACTGACTGAGCCACCCAGGTACCCAAGTAATTTTTTTTTTTTTTAAAGTCCTTATCTAGAAGAGATACACAATTTCATTTATGAAATGAAATCATGGCTGTGATTTGCTTTAAATGACTCTAGCAAGCAAAATAGAAGGTCATTACAACATTTTTTTTTTTTTTTTAAGTAAGCTCTATGCCCAACACCGGGCTTGAACTCACAAACCCGAGATCAAGAGTCACATGCTCTACTGACTGAACCAGCCAGGTGCCCCAAACAGAAGGTAATGAATACATGAGATTCAGTACAATACTGTTTAGGTTATGTGAACTAATCAAAACATTTATAAAGGACATTCACTGGGACACATTTAACATTGTTATTACCCTAAGATTTAGGAGGGGCAACATTTCTAATCCCTTTCACTTTTACCCATTTCAAAACAATCTTTTTCATTATTTACAGAGCTAAAAATTCAGAGAAAAGCATGTCAAAACAAAAATCTAACTTACCATTATTCTGTTCAACAGTCATTAGATTATGCTTGGCTTTTACTGAGGCCTCAAATGTATCAACGTTTTCCCGTTCATACTCTTTCACATCAGCAGCTACCCTTTCCAGAATGTCATCCGGAGAAGGTGACCGTGTACAGATACTGCTCTGAGGGCTGCTTGGTTCAGATGGCACAGACATATTGCTATCTTCAGCAAGATATTTGTATTTCTGTAACAATAATACAACACATTATTTTCGTAAAATCTGATGCATATCTGCTAAGAGGTATTGCACTGAAAAGACTGTCAATGTTAAAAACTTTAAAAAGGTATTGATGTCTTGATTGAATCAGATCCACAATCCCTTACATGTATTTCCAAAATCCACAAAACTCTGAAGAAGTTTTTCTACGTTTGGTGCACATTCACTAGGTGACAAAACCTCACCTGAACAGATGCGATACTATTTGTAGTCTTATTTTTATCTCCCCCAGTGTGAACATAGTATGTCTCATTGCAGAAATACTAATGTGTTTGATAGTGGGGTGCTGTTCTAGACCCCACTGATGGGGCTAAATAATATACATAGATGCACCATATTACCTTTCTAAAATTCAAATAGTTCTGAGTTCTGAAGCACATCTGGCCCCAAGGGCTGGAGATAAGGGATTGTGGACCTGGGCAAGAACAAAAAAAGATTCAACCAAGTCTCTAGGGATATCAGTTTAATAACAACAATTTCATCAGTGCCCCAGAAAAGCAAGTTTCTCTGGAATTCCAGTTTTGCCCTACATCCTCTGGTCATTCAAGTTCTTTCCTTTGCTCTGACCTCCAGTGCTAGATTTATGATTTGCTATGTATGTGTAAGCTGGTACAACTATTCTTTCCTTTTGCCTGCTATCTTCCTTATAGTATCTAAACATTTTTCACTTCTTCCAGAATGTGTTCTTTACTACATCACTCACCTTCCCATGATCAAGAGAAAGCATTACACTTTACAGGGACTGCCATCCACAAAGGATCTAGTGGCCATGGTTCTATCTCAGGATGCCTGAGGCACAACGGACAATCTTCCAAGGAAGGTAATCTTAAATGACTACACAAAGACTTATATACAACACCCTCTCCCCACCCCATTTGCTTAATCACCTACCTCTAAACTACTTTTAAATTATTTTTGAGATGTCCCATTTAAGCAATCACATTTACACAAGAAAATCTGTTATTTTTTTAGACATTCAAATGGTTTCCCCCCCGACATAGAAACAGATGTAATTACATAATTTTTTGCTAAATGAAATTCCAAAAAACAAAAACAAACCAAAAAAAAAAAACCACTTCAAATTTTGCCTTATAGTTTATATCTGAATCCTAATATATAACAAAAAAAGGGCAACCATTTCAACTTAAGAAATTATCATCTTTTCAAATCTCATAATCTCACATATACGTTTCCTTAAGACTTAATCAATTGCTACTACCATCGATTCTTTATTAAAGTAAAAACCCTTTTGCTAAGAGAGTAATTATTTAAAAAGATTGCTCAAACTTTACTAATATCACATACCTGAACAATTGCCTGCCTCTGTATTCTTCTCTGTTCTATTAGGGCTTCTTCATCTTCTTCCTCTACATCAAAGTCTTCAAGGCTTAAAAAAAAAAAAAATTGCACATATATACACACAATTTCAAACATCCTTAGACAGTCACAAACCGTAACTATTACACAGTTTAAAAATAAAAGCTAGAAAACATAGGTCATCCGCAAGTTCCAGCAAAAGTCTTAAGCCATCTTACTCTCTTTATCCTGTTTCTAAACTCTCTCAGTTGCCTGGTTTGGAATCCTGGCAAGTAATTTAACCCTCTGTATCTCATTTTCCTCCTCACTTGTTTCATGGCACCAAACTAGGGAACAAAAGATCCTTAAGTTCAAAAAAGTGACCCCTGGCTCTACCATGACCTTGCTATTACTAAAGTCATTTCACCTAGCCAGCCTCAGTTTTAACCCCTAACAGAGTAAGAGACACGTAAGAAAACTAGTACCTTCTCTGGGTCACAGAAAGCTATAGATCCTTGGAAAGCTATGGATCCTTTCCCTATCAAAAATAGGTATGTAAATATTCGCATACAATCTGACGAGGAATGTGGCTCTACCCGCAGACACTGCCCCACTGGTCCCAATTTCCTCCCGAAGAACTCCGAATCTTTACAATCCCTCCCCGCACGGCCTCTTTTATGATCTGCTGAATGTTCACTCCACACCAGTAAGCAAACTGCATTCTCAAGGTATCAGGATCTATGTTTAACACCCTTCCCTTAACTTGCATATCACCTAGCTCTGACTGGGCTTTCTTGACCTTAGCACTACTGACATTTTGATAATTCTTTGTTATGGAAGAGGGCGCTGTCCTGTGCATTAGCAGATGCTGAACAGTATCTCTGGTCTTTAGCCACAAGATGACAACCAAAAATACCTTTAGAGATTGCCAAAATGTCCTCAGAAAGGCAAATTACCCCCAGCTGAGGACCACTGCTCTAAATTATCTTATTTTTTGAGATGTTCTATCTAGACAACTAAATTCACATTAAAAAAATTTTATCCACTAGACAGTGAAATGTTTCTGTATTTTCCACACTGTAACAGGCATACCTAACACCAGATAGCTTCAACTGCAAAGGATGTGTCATTTTACACGAACTGAAAAGTTTAAAAATTACTATACCCCCCACCCCCATCCACTGTAAAACTGGTAATCAAGATTGGTAGGGCTATCTAATAGATCTGTTGTCTCTAACAAAAATGAAAAAGGGAAGGCTCATGATATTCATTCCAGTCAAAACTGGAACCTCTAAATTCAGAAAACCATGACCTCTGCCATATAATTTTAACCTATAAAATATACACAAAAAATTAATTTTTAAATTCAGGACCTAATTAATAGATTCACTTACAATATCCAGGTGGAAATTAAAAGATTTTCAGGTCAAAGAGTACTTGTCTAAATTGGAAAAAGGAAATTATGGGAAATTCCATTCTTACTTATCATCAGATGAAGATTCTTGTTCAACTTTCATTCCTTCAGAAAGACTTCCTTTAAATTTATCTTCCTTTATTTTGCTTCTGCTTCTACGTCTACGACCACCCCGTGATCGAGACCGCCTTCTCAAGCGTGACCGGCTCCTCCGACCTCTGTCCCTGTTGTGGGGGGAGGGATCATACATACACACATTTTAAAGGTCAATTAAAGGTAGAGAAGCTGTGGGTGTGTTGGGGGCAGTAGTATACAGAACTCTTTGTACTTTTCAAAAGCTCAATTTTGCTGTGAACCTAAAACTGTTCTAAAAATGAAATCTTTTAAAAAGGGGTTAATTAAAAATTTAAAGTAAAATAACAGATCAGAAAGATTGGGTTAATCAGCTTAATTGAAGAGAACTAAAATACAGGTATTGTTCTTACTGGACTGCAAAGGGGCACAAAAGAACTCTGGGGGCAACAGAAATGTTCTTGATTATGGTGATTATGTGTTTGTCAAAACTCATATAACTTTACAGCAAAAAGGGTGAATTTATTTTATGTGAATATGTTTCAATAAAACCGAGTTTAAAAAGAGATCACTGCTAATAAGGTATAGAAAAGACAAATGTGACAAAAATTCCAAGTCTAATTAACATGCCCCTCAGACATTTTTATAAGTGCATAAAGATCTTGCCTCATGTGTAACAGAAACTGATATTACAGCTCAAGCATTAAAGGTGAAGTTTATGTTGGAAAGATGCTATGGAACTCCAAACAAAAGGCTGCTAAGTCTACAAAGAATTGGCAAACTCTGGTTAATGTCACATCTGTCTACCATGCTTATGTCACATTTCTCAAGAAACCTTACTAAAATAACATGAAAGGAACAACTGAAAAGAAAACCCTCAGGCAAAGAGAATGAGAAGAACTATGACAACAGAAATGTCAACAAAATCTTGATGTGCAAACTGGATAGAATAGTAATAAATCAAATTTAAATATCAGTCCAACAGGAATAGACAAGGTAAATAAGAAACAAGTAAATGCATACCACAGAACCCAAGAAAGCCTCACGAACTGGAGACACCGTATTCTGTTGGATGTGGTGTGAGGTAAAAGCTAAAAAGAACTGGTTGAAAGCCTTAGCAACAGCTTGCCTCTGTATAGTTCAAATGCCAAAAACCCCCCTTCACATTCTGGCATAATACTTACAATTTATTTTATAGAGAGGTGTTGGTTGTTATAAAAACTGACCCAAGGTAGCAGGGAGGCACAGTACTGAACATTAAAGGATTAAGGGAAAGTCTACATTATGAAGAACCACCACTCTCCAGGCAAACATGACAATATTCTCCAGCAGATGAGAGGATTCTGGAAAACTGCTAGCCCAAAAGAACAACTATAGTCATTGATTTGCTAAAGAGATTTAGTTACACTGAAGTGATACCCACTAATCCACAAATTCTACATTCTCAGATTGGAAGAAAGCTTCCATTCAGCTTTCATAGTGGCTTAGTTTTAAATGAGAATAGGCAACAAGAAGGATCCAGCTGTTTATGAGTAAAGTCCTCAAATGAAAAAAGGTAAGGAACAACAAAAGGAATCTGGGAAGAAACAAAGTATAGGTAAGAAAACGATCAAGAACAAAAACTCCATAAAATAAATTCATTATCATCTTTGACCTAAGAGATGCTATTTCTATAAAACATGAGTAAAATGTCATAAAAAAAAATTAAACAGCCAACAAGTCTTAGAAATAAAAATAAATATACATGAGCACAGGGGAAAAAAATCAATAGAAAGGTAAGAAGGGTGAATGGGAAAATCTCCTAGACTGAAAGTAGAACAAAATGACAAACATCAAAGATGACTGTGTGTGGGGGGAAATCAGTGGAACAATACAGAAGGTCCAGTGGGGGGCGGGGGAGAGACAATGGGCAAGAAGGAAACCAAAACCAAAACAAAAGAGAGAAAACTTCCCAGAATAGGCAGCCATAATATTTCTGCTTTAAAGGGCCTACTTAGTGCCCAGCAAAATCAGTGGAAAGAGACATGCACCAAGGCATGTTATAGTGGAATTCCAGAATGCAGGACATTTATTATAAAGAGAGGGAGAGAGAAAAAGCAAGTCCTCTAAGAAATGCCCAGGCATCAGAACAGGACTTCTCAATAGCAATACTGGAAACCAGAAATCTGTGGAATAACAATTTCAAAGTTCTTAAGAAAAAAATTATTTCAACTTGCAATTCTACTCCTTGACAAATCAAATCAGCAATGGGGATTTAAAAAAAAAAAAGGGGGGCTTTTAAGAAACAAAAGTCCCCAAAAATGTCCTTTTCATAGGAAGCTGTTGGAGATGCATTAACAAAGCAAGGAAGTAAAACCTGAAGATGCTGGATACAGGAAAGGGAACCACAAAATAAGACAGAAACAAGGGAATATCCAGAGGACAGAAAAGGGAAAAAAATTCTACAATAACTGTACAAGCAGGCCTATTAGTCAGTTTGGAGACAGAAGGCTAGAAGCATTAGGAGGAAGGTCTTTCCTTGCCCCCTTCCCCTGACTACTTGCTCAGCAATGAGCAATAGGCACAAGAGCATAATGACTGTAACAACAACATAGAGAAATGTGATACAATTAGGTAGAAAAGAAAGTGTGATGGGTGGAATTAAAAAAAGTAATTGTTGGGGTGCATGGGTGGCTCAGTTTGTTAAGCGTCCAACTCTTGATTTCAGCTCAGGTGTTGATCTCAGGGTTTTGAGTTTAAACCCCATACTGGGCTCCACTATGAGCGCGGAGTCTACTTAATAAAGGAAAAGAAAAGAAATTGTCCAAAGAAAGATTGAATCAATAGATAACATGGCAATAACTTCAAAAATTTAAACATATACAACCTCAGACAAAGCACTTCTACTTCAAGAAATCTAGTATACAAAAATACTCAGAGATAATGTAAAGATGTATCCACTGCTTGGAATATAAGCCATTGGTGTGCTGTCTTTTTAAACTACATTCATGTATTAGCTCAATTAAAAATGTTAAAAAATTGGCAAATGAAAAGTCCACTTATGTTTGAGTTAAAATGTTTAACACACAGGGCTGCGTGAGTGGCTCAGTTGGTTAAGTGGTAGACTTGGTTTCAGCTCAGGTCATGATCTCCGGGTTGTGAGATGGAGCCTGAGGCTGGCTCTGTGCTCAGCAGGGAGTCTGCTTGAGATTCTTTCCCTCTGCCCTTCCCCCCACTTGCATGCATACTCTAAAATAGATACACCTTTAAAAAAGAATTTAATGTATATACTTTAAAATGATTCCTGCTTTACAAACCAACATTTTGATTAACCAATTCACTACATGTGCTTTACATAAAATGGTTTCTACTACTGTGAGTTAAAGAGGTTTTTGCCAAGAGAGTCTTTCACAACTACTGAGGCTATCATCTTGAGGTCATGTTCTAAGGGGACCAAATACAAGTTAATAGAAAAATAGAGACCTGCAATTACATAATGACTGCAAACTGGGCTACTTATTTATTACCTTATGATCTATCCTGCTTAAAACAAAACAAAACAAACCAGTAAGCATAGCTCACGTAGTATTTCTTTCTTAAGAATTAGGAAAAAAAAAAAGTGTTCCCCTTTCAAAAGATTGAGTTTTTAATGAATCACTGATTTAAATTTGAAAAAAAGATAAAGAAAAATCAGTGTGTGTGAAATATCACATGTTGGTAAAAAGGAAACTATATGGGATCACAGCTTCAATTTTTCAGAGAAAAATGGTCTTTAAGGAAACTCACCTAATGAGCTAATATGAAGCTTCAGAAGCATACAGAGTTTAATGAATTAAAAAGGTCAACATATGTAACATATCTCTACCTCCTCCGAGGAGACCTGCTTCTTCTCCTGGGTGACCTACTACGTCTGAGTGGGGAACGAGACCGTCTTCTGATGGGAGATCTACTTGCTCTTCTTCGGGTTGGAGACCACCTATTGATCGGGCTGGCATCTTTTGATCTTTCACGTCTACTGAGGATATCATCTCGAGGTCGTGTTCTTAAGGGGACCAAATACAGGTTAATAGAAAAATACATTAATGAATTTGTTTTGCACATAAAAGACATCTTAAGGGCACACTAACCTGAAGACAGAACACACAGATTAACATGTTTTGCAACAAAACTTGAATTCAGAAAATCACAATGACATTTTGGTGTTATGGTATGCACACAGTAGAAGGTCTACTTCCTCTGGTCTCACAATTTGAAAAATTATAAAGGTTATTCACGTTGTTAAACCACTGATTCTAATTCCAGATAAACAACTCAAATAAAACTTGTCTAAGTGACAGTATTCCATTTCCTCAGTTTGAAGACTGTTTTCTTCCTAAATCTTGACATTTTTGTAATACAGTCTTATTTTTAATATATTACATACAACAGCATCTTACAATCACTGTTACCCTTACAACAAAGAAAATCAAAGTGAGGGTTTAGAGAAAGGGACAGTCCATCTAGTCAAGGAAATACATATTGGTGTAACTTTCCTGGAAAGACATTCGACAATACTTCATAAAATGTAAATGTACGTTACCTTAGACTTTGCAGTTTCACTTCTATGAATCTATTCTACAAAAAACTTCACATATAAACAATGGACATCTTTGCATACAATCCTGAAAAACTGGAACCAACCAAAATTTTCATGTTTCAGTGAGGGATTGATTAGAGGTGACCCCTGAACATGGGTTTGAACGGCACAGGTTCACTCACATGCAGATTGTTTTTACAGTACAGTACTGTAAATGTATTTAGTCCTTAGGATTTTCTTACCTCTAACTTACTTTATTGTAACAATACAGTATATATGATACTAGAGCATACAAAATACGTGGTAAGTTATTGGTAAGGATTCCAGTTAGCAGTGGGCTATTAGTAACTAAGTTTTGGAGGAGTCAAAAGTTATATGCCAATTTCTGACTGTGTGGGCAACTGGTGCCCATAACCCCTGTGTTGTTCAAAGCTCAACTTTGTATATCTATACTGTGAAATATGGTGCTGCTATATAAAGAGCTAAAAAAGATCTTTGCTGTCACAGAAATGTTTCATGAAAAAAGCAAATCACATTTTAACATGTAGGACTCCATTTCTGTATGAAAGAACATTCATATAATTGTACGTGCATAAAAAAAGAACTAGAAGGACGTATTCTTATGACTGGTAGTGGAAGGATGAAAAGGTAAAGACTTTACAGGCTTCTGCCTTATCTGAATTTCTCTTTAATTAGTATCTTTTCTGTAATTAAAATTGTTTCAAATATTCAACACTAGTCCTTAATAAACTGCTCTGAACTTCCTTTTCAAAGGGAAGACAAACTGAAAGAGACAAAGATCACTTAGAAACACTTTAGAAGACATAATCAGCAACACTAACAACTGTCTCAATTTAGAAAGCTAAAGGAAGAAGGGGGCCATTTAATTACAATGCTACTTAGAAGAATTAAGAGTATCTAAGATGCAGCACTTTGTGAAAACAGCATTCTTGAAATTTTTCAGAAAAAACGATTTAAACCTCAAGGTCAACTTGTATTTATACTCACACACAATACGTGGCTAGGAATTTATATCTTTACATAGTATAAGCCAACCTTCTTTTAAGCTAAACCTGGCTGATAATTTCACATGTCCAATTATTCAACATAAGGATACTAAAAAAAATCAGTTTCTAAAATAGTTTAGTCTAAACAATCCTCACCCACTCTGCTAAAATCCTTCATGTGCCTTGATTACCTATTAGTTCTATGATGCTAGGTAAATGGAATAATCTCTCAATCTATTTTCTCATTTATAAATTGAATATGAGAGTCACTCCATTTTATGAGGAGAGATAATCAGGAGAATTTGAGGAAAAAAACCGATGGGCTAAAAGCATTATACAAATATGAATTATTTTCATTATTATAGGTAAAAAATATAAAATCATTTCTTACACTATTCTTCTTCCTAAAGACATACTACTTTTTTTAAACAATGAGATTATAGGTATATGAATTAGTAACAAAAAAATGTCCACTTTCAATTTAATTTTATTTTTGGGGCAAAAAAAAATTTGGTAGTTCCAATTTACATTGTTGGAATTCAAAACCATGCCAATTCAAATGAATGGATACATCACAATCCTTAAATTGACACCTCCTTTTTTAAAGTTAAAAATTTCAGCCTATACTGTTCAATGAAAAATCCCTGCTCTAGAAATTCCCCTCACTTCCCATAAATGGGAATACATGAATGGGTATACATAGATTTATCAGCCAAATTACTTGGATTTAAAGCAGTGATTCTGCAAAATTGATACTAAATTAAGAACCTGGGGGAAAAAAAACTGATTCTGTCACCAAGTTCAGTATTTGTAAATCTTTCAGTCAAGCTACTCACTGAAAAAAGTACAAATATTAATTTAGTTAGTGGACAGGATCTACTTAAAACTGTAAGACTGATCACACTACCTCATTTTTTATTGTCCACAAGTTCTAGTTTCTCCTTTTTAAAATCCGGTGCATTGGTAAAAAGCATTAACATTTTGAAAACAAGTTACCTTGGAGAAGAAAGTCGTCTCCTTTCTGGTTCTCTTCGTTTTCTTTCCAAGGATCGGCTCTTGGCTCTTCTACCAGGAGACAGAGTTCGGGAAGGTGATTTGCTTTGTTTAGACCTTCTGTCATTTACAAGTGGAGATCTACTTCTCCTTGATTTATCCCGTTGTTTTGGAGACAAACTTCTTCTTTTAGGACTTCGACCCGGTCTTCTACTGGGTGACCGATTTTCTTTCCCAGAAGAAGCATCTTTAGAGGGAGATTTAATTGGCTTCTTTTCTTTATCCGTGTCAGACCGTTTTGATTTTCTCTCTTTGGACCGTGATCTTCTGTCTTTGGATTTACCTCTTAAGTCAACTGGGGATCTGGATTTTTTGCCTCGATCACGACTTCTACTTTCATTTATAATTGGGGATTTTTTTCTATCTTTTGACCTACTTTTATCTTCAATTTTAACCTTGTCATCAGTAGGAGATCTGGCCTTCCCAATTTTCTCTTGAGATCGCCTTCTAAGGGTAGGAGATTTTGATTTCCTTGCTTGATCTTGAGACTTACTTCTCTTGGATGGACTTTTGGACTTTTTCCTCTCCTTTGACTTGCTCCTAGTTGTCTTCTCTTTAACTATTTCAACACCTCCCTTACTTTTCTTTTTATCACTCCTATGTCTAGTCCGTTCTTTGGATCTGCTTTTACTCCGCTTTTTCGTACTATTTTTATTGTCCATTAGTTCAAGTTTCCCCTTTGTACTTGATGATCTGGTACTAGACCTATTTCCATTTCTTGCTTTTTCATGAATCTCCCCCTCTTCTTCAGAGCCAGACTCATAGCCTTGCAATATGAGCCCCATCCCAGATTGGACCTTTCCTTCCATTAACTCATTATCAAGTTCAGCTTTAATCAAGGCTCTCTGTTTTTCCAAGTCTTCCAGCAAAGCTAAATCATCAAGTTTAGTTCTTTTTGCTGGAGACATACCTTCTTTGTCAGAAGCATCAATAACCTCTTTTCTTTTGTGTTTCTTATGTTTATGCTTATGTTTATGTTTTTTATCCTTGTCTTCTTCTGAGGAATGTTTATGTTTCTTATGTTTACTTCTGTGTTTATGCTTCTTTTTTTTGTGACGACTGTGCTTATTTTGAGACTGGTCTTCTGATACTTCTCCATTTTCTTCATTTACACTCTTTTCGGAATTATCAGCATCTTCCATCCTATAAATTTATCAAACACATTTTAAAATTTCATCATTTATCAAGCATTTAGTCATAACAAAATAATGATAAAATACATCTCAATGTAATACATGAAGTTAGTCACTGAAATATTTTCAGAACAGCTTCAGACATTTAATTGCAAAGATATATGGCAAAAACTGACTTAGTGATTTAACTTCAATTTGTTTCTAATGGTTGAACTCAAACACACAGAATACATACATAATGAGGGAAGTCAAAATAATCACATTTAATAAAAAGAAAATCCAAAACCAGTACAGTAAAATGTTAATATTGATTTAAAGTCACTCAGTAACTTGTTTTTAAACCATAATTTCCCACACAGACTTAACACCAAAGGCATGCCCCACCCCCTATTTTCTTTTTCCAGAAAACATACTGCCATATATTGGGAGACTAATCTCTTTCTCCACTTTATATTGAAAAGTATACTTTTTCTTTTTATAATCTTTACAACCAATATTCAGCTATATCCAAAAAAAGCACTCTAAGTGTGCACTGGTGGCTGATGTTTTAACCCCCCAAAGGTTTAAAATTTCAAAGTGAGCTGACAAGGAGTTAGGATGCTCAGCCTGTAGTGGCCACTGAGCAACCACTGAATCACATCAAAGGGTCTCCTGCAGGTCAACAATAGTCCAGTATCAGCAAAAGCCTACAGTTCAACCAGTATTTGTTCAACAGGCTATTTAGTCTCTTTAAATTTCAAATGAAAGATTACTTTCCCAAAATACACTCATATTGATTGGTGCCATACAAAAAAAAATATTAATATAATTAATTACATCAAAGGGGTAGCTTTTATGCTTAAATGCTTAGACTATGCTGAAAGAGTTTATGATTCTAAATTATTTTGCTAAATCCTTGCTGTTCATTAATCCCAGGTTAAACACAGACTACAATAGTATTATTTAACCTTCTCCTTTAAAATCATTCCATACTAAAACATCACATCCCAGAATGTGAGACTAACATAAGACTTTAAATCATCTGGATTCAGACACACTATTTTTGGAGGAAGATATGGATTATTTTGTCCAAGTCCTTCAAGTTATATACTCCTGTACTTTTACTAAATTTATTATTTGTGCCAAAATTAAGAACTAAGGAATTCAATTTTTTTTTTTTTTTTTAAGAGAAGGAAGGGGAGAAATGGGAGGGGGAGAGAGAGAATCTTAAGCAGGTTCCACACCCAGCGTGAAGCTAGATGCGGGGCTCAATCTCATGAACCTGAGATTATGACCTGAGCCAAAATCAGGAGTCAGATCCTTAACTGACTGAGCCACCCAGGTGCCTCAGAATTCAATTTCTTTTAATATTTTTTTTAAATCACTACACTTAACGCAGGCATTAAGAAAGGTAGCAGGAAAACAAAGATGTACAAGACCTGTACCTGCCACTTCAAGGAAATTATAGTTCAGGGGAAAAGAAAGTCACATGAAACACTGGAAGAATGCAATGATAAAGACACAAATAAGGGCATTACGGGAACACTGAAGGATCAACTAAAATCATTCTGAAAACGGTCAAGGAGATCACAGAAAAGCCCCAGCTACTTGTTAAGCAGAGACTTTGAAAGGAGAGAAGGAATGTTTATTGAGAAGGTACATAGATTATAAAATAAAGGTTGTGTAAAAATGTCCTAGAGAATGAGTAAGAAATTAATGAGAAGGGAAAAGAGTACTTTAGATAGGAAAAAAAAAAAAAGGTGACAAAAGGTACAGTTATAAATAGCAAACTATAAGCAGATCAGTGTTGCCAGGCATCAAACTTGTGAAGAAACTGGTCTAATGGTTAAGATCTCAAATGGACCAATTCCAGGAGATGAAAAGATATTGCAGGAGATTCTGGGAGTGAATTGTTGAGATAGAGTTAGAGGCTCACTGGGGTCAGAGGCCCAGGAACTGCAGGATTAGGCTGCCGGATAGTGGTCTGTAAAGACACTGCCATTATGGCAGGAGTCAGAAGAAAATCTGGTCCTCCAGTCAGGTCTCAGTCTTCAGTGAAGTTGGAAGGGCTGAGGAGGGAGGTGACATACTAGAGGTATTTATGAAAAGTTCTTAGTTGATAACAATGAGGTGGTGTGGAGAACATGAAGAACATACAACTACCACATGGCAGGAAATTTAAATTTTTGTCAGACTGCCAATCTCCATTTTGGTACTGTGGACTGTGAGAAAGAAGAAAGTACTGAAGACAGCTGCAGAGAAAGCTGTATCTTCTGGTTGAGAGGTTTTAGTTTGGACTGACTTCTCTCTAATGGGGAACAAAGACGACAGAATAAATAAACAAACAAAAAATAAATATATAACAAAGACGACAGAATATATATATATATTTGCATCTTCCAGTGCACTTTAATCAAAATTCCGTCATCAGAAGAGTTCTTGTAGCATACAATGTTAAGATGGGCATGTCAACTTGGTCCTACAAATGGAATTTCCACAGACTTGCACTTCAAACACGTATGAAAAATAAAATATATAATATTTAGCTTTATAAATTTCCCCACTTCATCACTTTGTCCTTAAAATAAATTACTATCTCTGTCCAATAAATTAAGGAACCTGGAGTCACGAAGCAAATATCAGCCAAATGACTTCCATTTCCTGAAAAAGTTCTGGGGGAAATACTTGAGACAGTCAAATGCTTACAGGAATCAACATGAATTAAAAACTAGCACATTCCTCACAGTTGGGCGAGACATCAAAAATAGAAGGCTGCTAATGGTTGTTCTTCTCTGTTGGGAAAAAATAAATCCCCCCTGACCATACCGAATGGTTGCAGAAGCTGCAACTGAACTTTTGGCACCGGTGGAGAAAAGAGGCTTTGCAAAGAGGCTTTCCAGGGTTCTCTGGATCATCAAATTTTCTCAAAGACTTAGAAAAAGAAAGTGTAATATCTTTATGTGAAAAAAAAAAAACAAAAACAAACAACATGGTTCTATTATGGTGGGAAGAGGGGGGAAACCACAGATTTAAGTAGAATACACAAAGACATTTCTTTTTCTTTCTTTTTTTTTTAAGGTTTTTATTTGACAGAGAGAGAATGTGAGCGCACCCGCAGGGAGAGGCAGCAGGAGGGGGAGAGAGAGAGAGAGAATCCTCAAGCAGACTCCCCGCTGAGCACGGGGACTTATATGGGGCTCGTGCCAGGACCCTGAAATCACGACCTGAGCTGCAACCAAGAGTCGGACGCTTAACCGACTGAACCACCCAGGTGCCCCGATACAAAGACTTTTCAACTTTGTTCCTTATATAGGCTATATCCTCATATAGGTAACCACTTCCCTTACCCTGAAATCTCCCATCACACAACCTAGAAAGTGGTAGTATAGGTTTTTTTTTCCCCCCCGCCGAAACTCGACTTATAGGGGGAAACGTGTGAGAAAAACTGAATTAGGCTAATTCAAGATATGAAGACAAGTATGGAGAACCTGTTTAAAGGCCGACAATGATTTTCAGGCATATAAAATCTCAGTGCCCAAAGTACAAAATTCTAGTCAATAAGCTAAAACTCAAACTATCTAAAGATCCTCTAATGTGTCTTTAGGAACCAGTCTCCACAGCCAGACTATCTGGTTTCAAATCCTGATTTCAATACTAGTTGTGTGGCCTCAAGTCTGCAGGCACCTCATCTACAAACTGGAGAAAATAGTACCTACCTCAAAGCAAACTGTAAGGATTGCATGGTTGTTAACAGATGTTAAGGCTCATAATAGTGCCTAGCACAAACCAAGCGCCTCAAAAGTAAGAGATTATTCTTCCTCAGAAACTGGATTAATATTTACTCACCATGACACTGTGGAGCTGTCAGGGCTGATACTAAGAATGTTATTTTCAGTAATATGGTCAAAGAGCATGGATTGAGTCAAACTACCTTGTTCAAATGGTGTTTCCAACATGACACACCTAGTCTAACCTTAAGCAAGTCGCTCCTCCAAGCTTCAGTTTTCTCAACTGTACAAACTGGGGAAATAACAGTATTGATAAATCACAGGCTTGTTGTAGCAATAAGTTCATATATAAAAGGCTACCACACAAAGTACTGAAGAAATACTAAGTCTCCAGGACAGAGGAGACTAAGTTTCAAGGAAGTTTAAGGGTCCTGCCTTCGGTCAAACACACATCAAGCTAGTGAGAAGGCTAGTATTACATTCCAAGTCAGTCAAGAGCTCTTCCATTTGATTGAAGATGCTTTTAAAATGTCAGATCATATCACTACTCTGTGTGAAACTTGATTATTGCTTCCTATCACATTGAGAATAAAAACCAAAATTGTTTACAAGGCCCCATACTATCTGCCCAACCTCCCCAACACACTGATCTTACTACTTTCCTCCCACACTTACCATGCTTTAGCCACACCGCTCCCCTTAAACAATAGGTAAACCCTACTTCAGGGCCTTGGTACTTGTACTTGCTGTTTCTCCACCTGGAATGCTTTTCCCAAACATATACATTGCTGGTTCCTTTGCCTAGCCTCAGGTCTTTGCTTAAATTACTTTCTCAGTCAAATTTTCCTCACCAATTCATTTTAATCACAACCCTCACCCTACCACATATCCCCTTTCTCTGCTTATTTTTTTTCTCTAAAGTAACTGCCACCACCTAATTCTTGTTTGTCTCTCCGTATTGTAACACATGCCCTATGAGAGCAGAATTTTAATTTATTTAGTTCACTGCTCTATCCCTAAGGCCTAGTAAACTTTCTAACCTATAGTAAGCAGATACTCAATAAGTAATTTGTTGTGTCAATAAATGATTTATATAGAGTAACACATAAAAATTGTATTCATCAGACTACAGCTATGCTTACTGGCTATACTACACTCATCTCTTGACAGGAACCATTTTGTTTTTGCTCGGTTCTATCTCCAGTGCCTCACACAGTGCATACACCTATCTGGTGAATGCAGTGCCCCAAAATGATTTAAATTTAATTACCTCCCTCCCCAAGAAAAATCTACTCTTTGAACTCTTTTCTAGTGCTTTCTACAATTTACAAGTCTTCAAGAAATTGCAAATCAAAATTCTTAAGAGTTTACCCACAGAGGAAGTAATTCCCTTCAAAAGAAAACCTAGCTCCTAAAGCTTCTGAGAATTAGAAGCTACATCAAGATGTCCAGTGTCACTTGAGTTATTTCCATGAGTGTCCCTAGTTTCTAACATAACTTAATGAATGTTATCTAAAGAAATGACTACACTACTGATAAAGATGCTATAAGCACTTAGGGCCTATTAGTTTAACCTTAATAATTCTAGAGTTCTCCTACACTGGGGTTAGTAGACCTTCACCCTCCTCAAGTTGCTCTCTCAATGCAAATTCCATAGAAAATACCAACTGAAGTCTGACTAGGTACATCAGGAAATCGTGAACTCAATGAATTGATGGCATATTACACGTAACAAGCTTGTGCTAAAACAGCTAATTTAGGTTCATCATCAACAACTTTCTTCTAAAACTTTACGGAAAGCTACCCTGATAAGAAACTTCATAGTCTTCTTGCATAGTTCATGTTTATAATAAATACAGGTATTAAGTTCCATATATGTAAATTTACATTTTAACATTTACGTTCTGCAATTTAACACTTTACAATTTACACATTTAGCAGGTCTATGTTTAAACCAACATTTAAAATTGTCTACAACAAGACTGTCATAAAACAGTACTTACTGAGAATTGAGTAATATCCTTCAAATCACATTATTTGGAAATGAAGCTGATTTGAAGTGCAGACTATATGGAAGTGTTAGGAGTGTTATCATTTATTTTGTTAAATGCAACGTATAAGTTTCCTCCTTCAAAGAAGGGTCTCTGGGCATCTGGCACAATGAAACAACTTTAAAATAAAGACTGATTACGAACCACTAGTGTTATTTTAACTTCGTCTTTCAAATTTTTAAAAAGAATACTCTTAATGACATTTTATCTGGGAGGCATTCAATTTATGCTCTGGAAACAGAATGGTGAGCATTCTCTTCTTTACAAAGAAAGTAATTAAGCCTGTTTCTCTGACAACTTCAACTACTTTAATACAGAATTAATGTAGATGTAAAAATAAGAATGGATTCAAAAGACCAACTAGTCTTAAAATGAACTCCTCCATCCCTCCTTTTCCAAATCGGGTGTGGAAAATTAAGCTTCAAAGAATTAGAACTGTCACATCAAAAAAAAGGGACCTTTCTGGGACACTGGAAGTCAATAAAAAGGATTTCAAACCTTAAAGGCTATTTTTAAAAGGAGCCACAATGTATAGTGGGCGAGTACACAGTACAATAGTTAGGAGCAGGGCTCTAGAATTAGACTACCTGGGTTTAAATCCTGGGTTTGTCACTTAGTGTGACCTTGGGTAAGTTAATTTCTCTGTGCTTCAGTTTAACCATTTGTAAAATATAGAAAATAACAGCATCTACCTCCATAGGGTCGTTATAAGGATAAAATATTTGTTCAGTGCTTTGAACAGTATCTGGTACTTGTAAGTGCAAATAAGTGAATGCCGATAAAAATTTAAATGTTTAAAACCATCAGAGGCTGAACTAAAGAGAGCTAAAGGACAAACGTAAAAGCCACTAAAAAGCCTTCAGGGAACTTAACTTTTTATTTCGTCCCAAATGTTCCACTTCGAATAGAGTTCATACAATTGTAAACTACTCAGTGTCCTCTAAAGAACTGTTCAGACACTATATTCCAGCACTCACTATGAGCAGCGCACAGTACTTGCTTTCATACAAAATTTATCTTTGTTAAACATTTTAAGTGGGACACTTAACAGACCAAATACTCCATTTATACCAAGAGTCCTGTGAGGAGGCGAGGTAGAATTAAAGACTATTTCAGGGGCATTCATGTTGCAAAGGCATAAATAAATGCTGATTATCAAGTCTAGTATTTGAATATGCATATAAATATGATCCCAGCACTCCTCAAAATTAATCTGAACAGTCCCTGAAATCAAATAAATGGACATGAACAGAACTTTGAAGAGATTGCTAGAAAAAACAGCTGCATAACATTTGTATTGTACTGGCATAAATACTGGAACGTGCCACACTGTGAACTCGATGAGAAACAAAAGGAGGTGAAGTCTAGTTAAAACTTTAGAATCCATCTGCTCTCTTCTAAGTCAATTTGTGAAGATAACAGAGCAGTCTTCAAAAGCCCTTAATTTCAACTTAATTTAATTTTCTGAGTAAAGCAAATGATTGAGGAGTCCAGAACTGAATGCATAGCAATGAAGTGCTGGGGCGCCTGGTAGTAAAAATTTCTCCTCTCAGTCCCTAGTTGCTGGGAGACTGTATCTCTTTCCTAAAACGGATTTTTAAAAAAATCAGATAATGCTGATGCACAAAACGATCGCTCTATGAATTCTGTTTTAAAATGCACTCTCTATTTTGGGTTCTTGTTTGAGTTTTCCCAACATGAACAGGAGAACAAAATACTGCTTTTAAGCAACGATTAGACTTTGCAGCATATACAAGTTATGTTTTCACTTGGCCGCATCGGTTCTTACGTTAGCTTAATTATAGACATAAAGTGCTTGGGTTTGGAAGTAGCTACTACTTCTTCCCCTTGTACTCCCAAAGAAGCCCTACAAACTCAGGCCAAAAATGTCAGGCCTCAAAACCAAGAACTTGATCTTACTTTGCCTCAAGTTTGCAAGTTGGCAAATAAGCTGCCAATAGGCAGAGGGGGAAAAAAATAGATCGAATGATCCTGGAGTTAAGAGCACAGAGATGGGGAAATGAAGTACCCCGTTAGCGACAAACTATTATATAGCTCTGGGATGGTCAAAGAGGTTAGCCCTACATCCCTTCTCCTCCCTGCTTTCAGGTCCTAAAACTGACACCAGCAGCAGGACGACGGCAGAAAGTCTTATGGCTTGCCCCTCTCCCGCCACTGCTCCTCGGGTGCCCCAAACCGATGCACTGAGTGCTGCAGCCAGGGAGCTCGGCTCGGTCCCAGAGGGAGAAATACTAAGGCGCGACCGTACAGTCGCGGCAGCCGCCTCGCGCACGGGACCTGTAGAGGCCGCTCGCGCGTACGCCTCCCAGGGCAACGACGCGCGGCAGGCCGCGGCCGCCTTCGACCCAACAGCCGCGGCCTCCGGGAGAGCGAAGCTCGAAGGCCGCCCGCCCGCCCGCCCAACAACGTATCGCGCGGGGAAAGAGAAAGTTTGGCTCTCGCCGTTAGGCCTGAACTTTCCCGCCCGCCCATGCAGGTCTCCGCGGTTTCCCACTCGGCGGCCTCCTGGGCGCCGGCCTTCCGCACCGCTCACAGAGACTACTTACTCTGGCTGTTCCCGCACCGACAGAGTCTCCGCGGCGGCCATCTTGAACTTCCTGACTCCTCGGCGGCGGTGGCGGCGGCTTCCCGGACGGTATAAGGTAGTGGAAGTGGAAGAAGAGGGAGCAGAGCCGTCGCGCATGTGCTAACCGCGTAGGGAACCGTGGAGCTCTGAGTCCGCTCTAAGAATCCGGATATAGAAGTGCATCCGGGGACATGGCGCACGAGCGCCATGACGCAACTTCCGGGGCGGGGGTTGGGCGTGAGGAGGTATAGACGGCACCTGCTAAGGGTTTAGGGGTGAGTGACTTAGGCTTACCCGCTAGTGGATGTTGGCACCGAACATTTGGTTCTGAAAACTTGCTAAAGAAGGGACAGAGGGAGTCAGATACCGGTATTTTGTGTGCGGTTCCGAGAACTAGTTTCACTGAGGGACCCACAAGTTGAGTTAATTTTCAGACTAGGACAAGATGATGATTTTGCTGCTGGGCTGAGTAGGAGGCATAGTAAATGCCTTATTACTGGATAGATAACCCAATCTGAAGTGGCATTAAGGGAAAGTTTGTAGAAAGACATTTTGAGAATACTGGGAGGTTAGGACTGTATCTAGAACGTAAATGTCTTTTAATACGGAATTATTATTAATACATTTATTTGAAACTTTTGCATTTCCTTTCAGCTTTTGCTTAATTTAGGGGTAACGATTCGGGAGTCGTTAGGTTTGCTGGTTCAGTAATATTTTTGGTCCAAATCACTTTATGTGATTTTGTTTTTCTATAATGAATTCTACAGTAATCGATTAAATGAAATATTTTATGAGAAAATATTTACTGGTTCTTGGAGATCTTTTAACACCACATAGGTTTGTATATTCGTTCTCTTTCAAAAATATCTTTCTTTATACTCTGGAACCTGAAATCAGGGTGACGATCGCTTTCATTCTTGTAATCAACTGAGTTTGGTTTCACCATAGAAATTTGACCTCAGAATATCTGGGCTTGCTATGTATCTTGGTTTTCAGAGGGGAAGATATACAAATATTCTTACAAAATGAGTCCCTCGTTGGCTTAATCCTAAACGTGTTTAAAATGTTAAACGTTTTACCTTCGTGGACTCTATTAATATGGAACACTAACACTGATTTTTGGGGATTCCCTCTCCTCCCCTGACTCCACTGTAGCATTTCTTTATATGGTCCTTAGTTGCATTGCTTTCTTTGTGAAGGATTTTTCTCTTTCTCCTTAACAATGAGATTCAGGTATAATAACTTGGAAGACTTTTTTCATAGGAAAAAGTTTTCGGAAGTATGTTAAAGATGGTTTATATCTATTATTTACTAATAGTGTGTAGGTTGGGATTTCAGAGTTCTAATTGTTTCTGCCTCTAGATTCTCATCTCTATGTATCTTTTCAAAAGTAGTATGAATTCATGAATTTATTCTTATATTTATGGTTTATTATATTCTCTGCCCCAGCCCCCATGAAGGCAAGGCCATGTGTCATTGTATCCAGATTGGCTCAAATGTTATGAAAATAACAAAAAATATTTAAAATAAAATTTAAAATTAAAATAGATGAACATAGTTATGTATGTACAAACCTATTTCAGATTTATTCTTGGAAATAAGTACAAACCTGCAAGAGATCTCATCTTGGATATAAAGTAGAATATACGTTAGGGCAAAAGAAGCCTAGCACACTGGCACCAGGAGGTAAAGAAACTTATGATGACTTAGTTCCCAATTGCCAAGCCAGGATATGAAATGAAATCTAACTCCTGTCTGTGCTCTTTCCATACTCTGCTGCTTCCCACAGAAATGTCATTTGTTTAGCATCTACTTATTGAGCACCCACCTACACAGCTCTTTGATATTCAAATGTGTTTTCAGTTAAAGGTAATGGAAAGAGCAATGGATGGGCATCCAGATATACCTTATTTTCCCCGGGTCTCTTCCTTAATGCTGAGTAGCTTATTGCTGAAAGCTCATAGGCAAATCTCAATTTCCTCAACCACAATATTATCTCCTTTGTCACCTCTGCTGTTTGATTCTAAAAAATTTCTTAATTTAAGTGTAATTGACATGTAATGTTTTATTAGTTTCAAATGATTTGACAATGCTCACCGTGCCGTACGAGTGTGGTTAAGGGAGGATAGGTGGGGAGAATAGACGCTAAGTTGTTCAGGTTTGAAGCCACATTATGACTGGCTCAAATTTAGACTTGGGCAAACCCTTCAAATTTTTTAAAAAGAGCATAGTAAAAACAAAAACAAAACATTTCAGAAAATGATGCTGGCAAATTTCCTTTAAGATTTTCTCACCAATTCGCTTTCCCTTGCACAGTTACTACCAGTTCGGACCGCACTAGGAGGGATTTGTTAAGGATTCACCCAAAACTGTGTTGTAGTTTTGGAAGAATGGGGTTTGGGGAAGGCGGAGTTAAAATGAAGGCAAACATCATGTACTACTTTAAATAAGTCAGCAAACGTTTATTAAAAGAAACTTAAGTCCAGGTTTTCACTCTTCTGCTTTTCCTCCCAGAGTTTGGGAACCGCTGCACCGAAAACGTGCAGACACAGCTAGACCCGACCCGCGCGGGAGGGACAGTATAGCGGCTGAACCCGCCGGCCGGAAGTCCCTGAACAGGCGGGGCCTCGGCGAGCACGCGCTTCCCGACCGTGGGCACTCCGTCCGCGCGCCGAGAGAAGCGCGCTCGTGCGTGCGTACGTGCGTGCATGCGTGCGTCTGGCGAAAGGGGTGGGCGTGCCTGAGGGAGGCAGCGGCCCGCCGCCGCCGGCGGTAGCTTTTCTGTAGCTGCGGTTGTAGGTTGAGAGCTGGTTTTCTATGGTCAGTACATTTCCGTCGCGCCTGGCGGAGCCGCCCAGCCTTTGCGCTACTCCTTCGGGCCCTGAGCCCGCGCTCTTTTGCCCCTGTCAGTTTCGCCGCTCTTGCCACCTTTAGAGCTGAGGCGGTTTTCCGGAGCCGCAGGGCCGGCCCGACTAGTAGTAAGTAGGTCCGAAATCCGCGGCCTGTGGCCGGGGGGACCTGGCACGCTTTGCTGACCGCCGCGAAAAGCCGAATTCAAAAAAAGCGGACGTTGACTCTCTTTTGCAGACAGGGAGCGTAAAACCCACAACGCTTGGAGCCTCACTACCAAACAATACCAAAAAAGTGTTCTGGCCCGGAGACAAGGTTTTGAGAACAAGCATGCATTTTTGACTTTTTTTTAACCATCTTTGCTTCCTTTTAAGTATTATTACTTTCGTGCAAGATACACACTCCAGGGGTAGTTTGAAAGTGCTTTTGAATTATGTTCCTCCTATGAAAAGAGATTATTAACGTTTGGACCACCTAAGCTACATAGTCATCAATCCCGATAAGCTCTTAATTTAGCTCATCTTAACGTAGGCTACAAACAAAATAAAGAGTATCATAAAATCCTTTGAAAAAAACTCCTGGTCCATGGAGAGTTCTCAGATGTCAGTTAAAAGAATGTAGATCGCCTTTTAGATAATACTTAAGGTTTTATCTAGTTTAGATCTAGATTTCGAATCCGTAGCTGGAAGACATTGAGACTGAATTTTCTTTTATTACTAATCAAGAACTTTGACTTTTGTTCCATGAAATTTAGTTTTTTGTTGTTTTAAAAACAGTTCTGAAGCATTCACGAAAATCTGGAAAATACAAAAAGCAAAAGAAAACAAACAAAACCACCTAGAGTTCTATTGTTCAAACTGAACCAACATTAATATATTGGCTTGGTTTGACTTATTTCCATATGAAATACTAAGTTTTCTTGTACTCATGAGTAGAATGCGATAGTTGGCTTTTTCATGTAACACACCCATCTATTTTTACATAATTCTAGTTTCAGTAAACATTTTTATAACCAGGTGATGTCTCTTTTTTCCTTTGTTGGTGGATGTGTATGTCATTTCAGTTTTGCACTATTGTATATGACTATGATGAAGCGATATTTAGAATAGTATTTAGAACGTGACCATTCAAGGGGAGTTGACTTGGGCTTCACCGCTCTACCAAGCAACTTATTTAACCTTTCTGAGCCTCATTTTACACATCAGTAACATGAGGGTAATAGTTCTCATCACAAGGGTTATTATGGGAATTAATTGAAATAATGAATGAAAATGCCTGGATCATATATTAGTAAATACCAACTAACTATTTCTACATGTAAAGTTTTTTTCGATTTTTGTATTTTTAAATTTCTTTTATTCTGATTTTTTTGGTAACATGCATGGTTTACTCCCAGATTTTGTATATGGTTAAATACTATCACCACACTGGGTCTAAGGGGTTTTATACATAGGCTTTTTATATATTTTACTATATAAATTATTCATAAAAACATAAGTTAGAAATACTTTTTTGCAATAAAAGTTATATTTGGCTATAATTTATAAATATTCATGTTTTATGGTAGGGCCTATTCTTTCTCACCTTTTATACATATATACCTACATTGTTATTTTTAAGAATTGCATCATAAAGTGTTCAGTGTGAAGAGAGTACGGTGATTAAGGAGTAGGAAAAAAGCTGGAAAGGGAGGTTTTAGAATTTAGATTTCATTTCGAATTTATGGAATAAGTTCAGTGTTGAGGAATGACCTGATTTAATTTGTTTTGGAGGGTTCATTTGGCTGATGTATGGAGATAGACAGCAGGGCACCAGAAAGGGAAAGATGGAATCCAGTTAGGAGTGTAATTCAGTAATCCTCGTGAGTGATGGTGGTGGTTTCAACCAGGGTGGAAATGGAAAAAGTGGCTGGATCCTGAATATATTTTGAAAGGACAAGCTATAGAATTCAATGATTCATTGGATGTGGGGTGCAAGAGACAGCAACTTAGAGGTTTGTGGCTTGAGCAATTGGATGGATGCAGTTGCTGCTTACAGAGATAGAGACTGAAGGAGGAACAGATTTTAAGTGGGGGGAAAGAAGAGTTCTTCTGTTTTAGTCAGATCATACTTTGGAGTCTGTTAGATGTCTAATTGGAAGTGAGGTCTTAAAAACTTCAATTATTGTTGAGTTACTTGTTTCTCTTTTCACTTCTCTCATTAGATGCATTCATGTTTACAAACCTTTTCCATTTGGATTGACACCTTTATCATTACCAAATGTCCCTCCAGTAACTTT